GGAAGATAAAGATTTGTTCAAGAATTCCAGGTGAATTCGTTCCTTTTATTCTTTGTGAATCTTTGTGAAAAATCTTGAGAAGGGTTTCTCAAGTAATAAGGTTTCTTGTAGTGGGTTCTACAAGGGGTGCTTTCTTGGGGTCAAGAAAGTGGTTATCTTTAGTATAGAAGTATATGCATGTGTGTTTGCTTGTAAACCTTCTTGATTAAAGATAGTGGAACAAATCTTAATCAGGTGTTGATTAAGGACTGGATGTAGGTCACATGTGGAGTGGCTGAACCAGTATAAAAGACTTGTGCAATCTTCTTCTACCTTATCTCTTACTTTGAGTAATTGCTTAATTGAATATTAAAGAAGATAAAACTTGATTAACAAGTGTATGTGAATCTTGATGGTTTAAATCTGTGATTGAACATTATTGTTGAACCTCATTATGCTGTAATCAAGTGAGCATATTGCATTCATATTTTTGTAACAAGTCTTTAGAAGAGCTTCATTTGAAAATTCTGTCATAGAAAAGTTTTGATTGAAATTAAGATCCAAAATACTCTGATAAATTTTAAAAGGGTCATTGAATCCAATTCACCCCCCTCTTGGATTGTGCCATTCTTTTCTATCAGAACCAAGAGAAAGGAAGAAAAGCTTCAAGCATCAGATGGAAAGGTCAAATGAAGCCAAGCCTAGCACAAGAAGGAAATTGATCAAGCATCAAGACTAAGCATGATCCAAGTCAGACGAAAGTACAGACGTCAGATGAAGCTTAATGGTCAACCAGACAAAGATGAGTCAAGGCAGAGCACAGCACGAGGATTAGACCAAACAAGTTAAATGATAGATGATCATGGATCCTCGTGATTTGAGGACAAATCCTTTTCAAGAGAGAGGGGATGATGGAATCATGCCTAGGAAGGCAAGGGGTAACACATTGAAGGAGCCAAGAGAAGTTGGCTAGACATGAAGGTTTGGGCAAGTCAAGGCCCAATGGGCTCGATGGGCCTGGAAGGCCCAATTTGAGCTTCACATGGGCCATCTCTTAATAAATCCATTTTTCTTATATTTTGTACATATTATATTAGTATAGGTTTCA